CAACAGCAATTAGGCAGATGCAACCCTGCATCTATGCAGAGAGGTACTTACAAAGCTTCTGAACGCACACAGCCCGCACAGGCTCTCCATAGGTGCATTTTATTTACCAGGACCATCAACAGTGCGCAGAGGCAGCTGTGGAGTCAGAGAACCACACACAATATAGAAGCGGGGACACATCTTCACAGATTACGTAATGCATTTTTCCTAGATTTACACTGCTGGCTTTTGCCTTATTTTCATATAGTATTGCAAACCTTCCTCTAGTAGCCAGGTTTGAACCTGACACCTCCAGGACCAGAACACAAACTTGTTTTACTTGAGCTAAAGAGCAAATCTGCTGCACGTAGCTGTAGCTGGCTTTTTTCCTGCTGGTAGACCAGACGCTCTCAGAGGAAGGCGAGACCCATTTTGCAAGTGCATTGCTCCGTGATAAGAAAGATCTTTGCCCCAAGGTGCTACAACTCACATGCCTGGCCTCTGGAAACACAAGCTTCAGTGATTAATATTAGCTTTGCCTGGTTAGCTTTAAACGTGTTCATTGTTATATTTGCTTAAAGTAGACTTGAGCTGTGATTCAGAAAAATGTTATTACAGCTCGTAAGTAAGTTCGAGACTTGCCCGTGTTTCCTAGGTGCTGGCTGTAGGCATCCCATACCAATTATCAACAGATAATTTTTTTCCAGGAAAAATACTCCACAAGCAATTTCTCCCTACAAAAAAGTGATCTTTCCACACCAGCATTCATGCAATGAAAAAAACCCTCTATTGCACAAAAACTCACCCTTTTTTATGCCTGCAGCAAGAACACTTATGTACTTGTGGGTTTAACATTTTAATAGTATTTGAAAAGTGCCAGGAGGGTGTTCAGTGCTGTAGAAGATGCACTGTCTGCATCATGAAGTTTAAAAAAAAGCAGTTCACACAAAGGGCAAAACACTAAAAGTGCTTTGAATTATTGCAGGATTAGAGCACAGAAGGACAGCTGACAAAGTGTGCTAGGAAACAGAAATTACCAAAAAGTCTTCTCTGTTTTTGCATTTTTCCCAGCTGTCCTTTTTCTTCCTCTCTTGAAGCTTGAGCTTTCACATCCTGCACTAGGAAAGCGCTATGGCATTTTGCTGGGGTGAATCAGTGCATGAGGAAGGGTTTTTCCAGGTGAAAACTGCAACAGCTCTGTACAGCATGTATTGCACCTTGTACTCATTCTAGAGGGCAGTGAAGTTTTTTATAAATGGATAATATACCGAGGCAAAACCCCAACCTATGTTGTTTAAAGAAAGCTGCAAGACAGTAGTTCTGAAGCTAGAAATCAAACCCAGGTGTTTGGCCCTGGTTGTGCCCTGAACCTGGTGTAAATTCCCTTGCACACCCGTGCACTCTTTTAAAGCCAGCAAGGTGCACAAGCCGCAGGCTCCAGTTACACTCCACCAGCTCTGCACATTCATTTCAGAATGCTCATTTTGGTTTTAAATCTCTCTGTGGAGCCAAGCTCCCATCTTCTGCAGCATCTCTGCTTGGCACGACCTCCCAGGACCAGCTGCAGCCTCTGCCTGTAGCCAGACCCGACACCACGCGCCCACGGCGAGCAGGACCTGGTCCAGGTGAAGGTCGGGAGTCAGTAACGCAGCTCAGTCCAAACCAAGGGACAACCTGACCGTGCAGACAAGGACACGGCACGCTTCATGATGTTGAGAGCCGTGCAGGCCTGACAGTACCTGGAGGTGTGGAAGGATGGAGCCGATCTGCCCGCAGCAAGGACCATGGCCTTCCCACCCCTGGGAGCACACTCGGGCAGGAGCAGTCAGGCAGAGCTCACTCCACATCAGAGCCTGTAGAGTGCCCTGCGGAGTGCGTTTGGCACCCAGTTTCCCAAAGACCCTGGAGCCTGTTGCTCTCCAACAAGCAGCCGGGGCCCACGGGCGAAGGCATGGGGTGCGATGGGGCAGCTCGCTGCGCTGGCGCCTGCAGTCTGGCAGCTCGGCTCCCCCGGCTCCTCAGCCAAGCACTTCAGCAGGGCTTGTGCACAAAGTCTCTCAGCTATATCCTACAGCACTCGCTGCACCTCCAGGGCAGAGAAGTGATGTGTCCATTTATTTAAGGCACATCACCACAGCGGTAAATGTTGTCCCTATATCACAGGCATTTCCACCGCCTACAGCTTGTCCCTGTGCACACTCACAGCACCACGGCACAACAGCTGAGGGCTGGCAGGGAAGAGAGCGATCAGATGGAGGGAGCTACGGGGGAGATTTTAGATAGGCACAACAAAAGGATGCTGCATCTTGCTCGATCTCAGGGCCCACAGCCAAGAGATCAGTTCTATTCCTGGCACCGCCACGGGCCAAACTGCAGGCAAGGCTCACCCTCGCATATCCACTGACGCATCAATACCAAAAATCTTCTTCATCCAAATACCTTATTTTTCTGACATACTTGGCTGCTGGATTCACTCACCAGCAGCAGCCGCCTGCAAGGCTCCTTTGTTGGGTGTACAGTAATGTATGGCATACTGGAGAAACACTGCGGCTGTATTTCTCTTATTGACGCTACACAGGAGAATCAGCTATTACATAACCCAAAGTACAGAGAGTAGCGGAGCACCTACTTTATACACAGTGGCACTTCTCACATCCAGTCCAAAATGGTTTAAAAAAAAAAAAAAGAAAGCTGTATAAAATCATACTCTGACATATTCTTACATACACTACTCAGTAATATTTTCATATTCACAGCGGTTTTTCTTCTATTGTGAGATGCAGTTCAAGAAGGCTACTGACACCTGGCTAATTTCTTTGCAGCTGGGAGCAAAAGATACTGCTCTCCATTAACACATGGAACATCAGACAGAAACCAAACCACCTCTCCAGGTCCAGCAGCAAGCAGAGCCGTGCGGGCGCAGCCCTGGCTCCCAGCTCTGGCAGCATCAGCGTGCTTTCATCTGCTGGCTTGCAAACAACACGAACTTCGTGGAAATACTTGACAAGCCAAGCTGATCCTTCCATTAACTAATAGATCTATCCAGGACAGAAAAGCCGCTGACTTCACATGACGACGGGAACTGAGGCAAATTTTACACCAGTAGACTTTGGCTAGGGCAGGACCCAGGACTCCCCGGGCAGCACCTGCCTAAAAGACAGATCACTTCTCATCTTCACACAACCCAACTTTCTTTATGGGAAGGACTCGTTGGATCTGAACGCAGGGCTCCGGGTACCCCATAGCAAATTTGCTTAACTGAAGCCACGAGTGTGAAGTGGACAAAGCACACATGCAGATAATAAGATAGCTATTCAGCCACTAATCAGAAAGGTATCTTACTGCTGTGTTATGTTAGTTAACACAAACAGATTTGTCTCTCTTGTGGGAATAGTTTTACACCTAGGCATTTGAAAAATGTTAGTACCATTGGGCCCAAACAGTGTCCTCAGTGCTCTCTAGACATAAAAATGGGCCTGGTCGTGCAGAGCAGAGACAACGGCAATAGCTATTAATGGACCCACTGCAGTCAGCCAGCCCAGCGTGACTTGCCCGGGGCAAGGGGTAGAAGCTGACACATAAACCAGAGATCAGAGCAGACAAACAACTGAGATATTAAAGGAATAAAATGATATGATTGCAACCTGAAAAATGAGGTTTTGAACAGGCTGCATGAACAAGTGCAAGCCTGTCATATCAGGGCAGACAGAACAAGAACAGTACAGGCGTTTCTGCTGCACACAGTCAGGATAACATTAATTTTGGTACCAAGGTAGAAAAATCATGAAGCAATGCAACAAGTTATTTGCATTTGAGAAAACAGCTGCACTGGATGCAATGTGGAAGGACAGTACTGGCACGGGTAAGAATAAACAGGTATGCAGCAATGTAGGATGACAAGTTACAAGAGTGGGATGTGAAAGGAAGGTGTTGGGCTGCACATACTGGCAAAACAGTGGTGAAAGCACCACCGTAATCAAGCCAATGGCAGAAGCCCAGCGAAACCGGAGCGGTGTCAGGGTGCCAGCTGCGTCCCGGCGCAAGATGCTGGCAGAGAAGGGCAGGATAAACAGCAGCAAAGACCAGAAAGCCTTGAACAGGGATTCATCTAGGCTCTGCACTGGTGTCCTCAGAAGGAGAGAAGAAAACTTTCTGAAAACATGCTGTGAAATCAGGCTGCGCTGGTAGATTGTCATCTACAGAAACCTTTAGAAGAGGCATTCTTTGTAAGTGTTCTAATACACAAACAACTTAAAGCCTGTTATAAATAATGCTAAAAAAGCACGGGATTTTAGTTTTTGCTCCTCAGCGTGTGAGCATGGGATGTAAGCTCCCCCTGCCAATGTCTGCTGAAGTTACAGCAGTAGATGACCTCTCTCTGGAACAAGAGGCTGCGGGCAGGAGCATACATAATGCCCCATGAAATGCCCCTTGGCTCTCAGAGCACTCTCCTGGCTCTCCCGAGCTCTGCGAGCTGAGAGCAACAACTTCAGGCAGCAGTTAGGGACAGTAAAACAAATACATGAAAGTACATTAAGAACCCTTTACTGGTGAACAAAAATCCACGCAAGAGCCTCCTGTTCTCAAACTGGCATCACAGCAGTCACTTCCTGTCACCTCAGTTACTTAAACAGGCTTTTTAACTGCTTTTTGTTTGTTTTGTTTACTGCTTGTTGAAGGCAGGACTCTGATTTTTAAAAAAAAATCAGGACCTTTCACCAAAATTGTATTTGATTACTGCCTCCTCAGCAGCACTACCACCCGCCTGTCCCCCCCCGTGTAGCTACCTCCATCAGGCCACGCCGTTTGGCATCAACAGGTGAGGTAGCACTTACACCCAAAACTTCCCAGTGGAAGACACATAAAGAAAAATAACCACACAGCAATGCATGCCAAGACCATTCCCCCAAGTCTAACTAGGGGCTGCAAACCTTTCCCTCCCCCTGTGAGGGTCCTCCTGCCTTCCTGGCTCACTGGCAGCCACGAGCGCTGCTCATGCAGGCAGGACCAGAGTACCATACCTGGCTCGGAGATAGTCAGGCTCTGGTCGGAAGGCAGCAGGAGAAATTCCCTGCAAGTGTCCAGGTCCAAGCTAGGCAGGCTTTTCTTCCGGCACAGCTCGGTGACAATGCGGACTGCCTTCTGACAGTGGCTGCCATCCTTGGCACCACTCATCTCCCACACTGCATCCTCCGCTATCCCCCTCCGCTGCCTAAGAAAGTCAAACTCGGAGAAGAGGGCTTGTTGCTAGCCACACAGAGTCACACCACTTCCACCCGCTGGCATGGCAGCACCCTGGCCGAGGGACCACCGTGCCGGGCGATGCTCCGGCTCTGCAGCCCATCCGCAGCGGTCAGAGCGGGGCTGCAGTCCTGCCAGGGCTCCCGATGCCTCATTGCCTCCGAGATCAGAAATCTGTTTACTGCCGAGGCGTGTTCCAGACAAAGAACCTCCTACCAAATTCAGTTTCGTGCCCTCCATACGATTTTTAAAGCTACAGCCCAGAGCATTATTTTTTAACCCTTTCATTGCCACCCCTTCTCCATTCTCCAGGTGCAGAGTTTCAAATCCCAGCCCTAGAGCAATTTTGCAAAAAGGAAAAAAGTGGATGCTGAAATCTTCTGGCTGAAAATGGCACATCATCAGACAGGAGAAACAAGAGTGGTGTCATGAACAGTTCACAGATGACTTATAATTGCCAAAGGCAACATAAGGAAAGCAGCAAGTTACACTGATTTGTTTGTACTGGTCCAAACACAACAGGCTGCAGATGGCAATAGAGATTGAGAATGCCATTGTATTTCATAATTACATTTTTTCTTTCTGAATTTTCTGCAGGTTTTTCTTTATCCCTATTGTAATTTAGCAGACAGGTCATGCCACATGACAGAGCTACACTTTCAAACAGAGAATATATTTGACAGGCATAGGAAAAGAAGCAATTGTATAACAGGCAATTAAAATCATGTACAGCAGAATGATTTTTTTGCAGCTTCTGAAGCAGAGAAGCTAGTAGAACTATAATGAGCATACTGGAGATCTACCTGGGGCTAAAGCTCCACAGGTCCCTCAGCCCCACATAGCAACAGAGTATGTTTAGATCGATTGCACTGTTTATTTTATTTGTTAATTACCTGCTACAGCACTAGGCAGTGCTCATGCCAGGCGAGTCCCAGGTGTTACGCAGGCACCCAGGGCAGCACCAGGCTCCCCCGAGCCCAGATCCTCCAACCACCCTCCAGCCCAGCCACGCAGGCTCCTGCGGCAGCTCCGCATCCGCCTTCCCAGCCTGGGAACTCCAGGATCTGCCCCAGACCTCGGGTCCTGCCTCCTCGTGCCCAGTCCCTGCCCGCTCCTGCTGTCCTGGACCAGCTGGGGGTGATGGGGACCGAGTATGAGGGAACGGCTCTTGCCCCACACATCTCCCACAGGTCGGCACAGCCCAGGCTCCCTTCCAGCTCCTGCCAGGCCCCGGGCTAACGTACGATAAATTGTGCAGCAGTTGGGCCAGGGACTCGGTCCCAGCAGGAGGGGCCTGTGCAGCAGCTCGGGTGCCTGTGCCAGCCAGCTGCAGGCATTGCTCCAGCATCCCTGTGCAGCTGCAGACCGGAGTCACTGGGCCACACCAGCCCTCCCACTCTCTTTGGCCTCACGGATCCGTTCTGGACGCCTCACCGTCACTGCCTGAGCACAGGCCTCTGCCACGGGCTTTCTCCAGCAGGGCAACCTCTGCCTGGCAAGAGCAACTTACCTGCGACGCACTTCTTCCAAAAACTTCCATTGCCAAGACATGAGTGAAAGCCTTTATGAACGCAGCAATAACCTACAACTGGTCACAAAGAGATACTCTTAATTAGACACTACCACCTCCCGGTCAGTGCCATATAACCTGGTGAAAACAGTCTGAGGCGTACCTGAACATTCAGGAGTATTTCTGAAAGTGTTTGCAAAGGCCAACGTCACCAGCTGTTGGTTGGCAGCACCACGGCTTGCAAAAGTCTATGTTTACTGAGTAGAGATTCCAGACTTCGCAAGGCTGGAATCTAAACCAGTAATTTGCCAGGAGCTCAAGCTCAGGTGTAGTTTGCATTACATTTATCATAGAATGGTTTCGGTTGGAAAGGATCTTAAAGATCACATAGTTGAAGCCCCCCACCATGGGCAGGAACACCTCCAACCAGACCAGGTTGTTCAAAGCCCTGTCCTGCCTGGTCTTGGACACTTCCAGGGAGGTGGAAGCTTCCACACCTCTCTTGGCAACCCGTTCCAGTGCCTCATCACCCTCACAGTGAAGTAAAATCTAAGCTAAATCTACCTGTTTTCAGTTTAAAGCCGTTACCCTTTACTTACTGCAGCGGTGGGTGCTGTCACACTCACGGCCAGGCAAGAACGGAGCTGACCAAGACCCGGTGAGGGAACCGCACCTCCTCTCTGTGCCTCCTTTCATTGCCCCCTGCAGGTACCCTGCGGCCCAGACTCCCAAAAACAACACGCAGGGAGACCCAAGGGGATGCGAGTCCCTGGGTAATGACACCATCACCACATCTACCTAGTAGAGCCACTGGTTTTGCCTGAGCTACCAATGTTGGCACCAGAAGAGAAATTCCTGAAATACATCAGTCAAATAATGCATTTGAAATTTGAATTTACCTTAAAGAGATTTCAACAGACAAAAACAAAAACCAAAGCACCCCAAAACACACCGGCCAAACCCTTAGAAAAAAGTTAATGTCCAATTTATAGGTTGTAACACAGAAATCAATAATAAAATTTAAATATTTGGGAAAAAAGCTAGTTTTATTTCAAAGATAATCCCAAAAACTTTTTATTTTTAAATCTGGAATCACCTTGGGTCAATTATTCACCATCATTTACATACCAAAGTATTCTGGTCTTGCTAGGTAACAATAACGGGAGACTCTGGTATTAGTACCCATACTCTCAACAAATATTTCTTCAGAACACAAAACCAGACTTTTTTGCACCTTGTAACTTTGCACTTATGTCATATGCACTATTTATTGTCCAACACAGAAGGCTGGAAAATAGCCAGCTAGCAGCTTTGAAGCTCAGTGCATCCAGGCAAGGAGCTTTCTAGGGGCAGGACTATCATCAAAAATTGTTTTCTGGTGGTGGGACTTCTGAAACATATTTTATCGAGCTGGAATCTCGGCATATCCTCAAGGTAAACAGTCCACGGCATGATTTGGCAGGGCTGAAGGCTCTAAAAAGCCATTTCTGTTCCAGCAGCATCAGACGGCTGAGAGACATCAGATGAGATGGTATCAGAGAAGTGGTGGTGAGTACTGCAGCTATCAGCCATGCCCAAAAGCCATTAGCTAAATAGCTTTGGGGAACTCTGACCTCTCATCCACTAAGCAGCTGCATTTAACACAAGGCACAACCTCAGTAAAATAAACGAAGTGCGAGCACAGGGCCACGCTGGGTACCTGCCCCGGGAGTTGATGTCTCGGCTGCACCCAAGCCAAGGCAACCGTCGGAGACACAAGCCGTAAGCGCGCGGTCCCAAAGGCTTGCCAGCCCGGGGGCAGTTTGACAAGCCGGGGTTATTTCAAACCTAAATTTCAGGAAGACTATGGCAGCAAACCCTGTTACCTGAGCACAGTACCACCTCACAGGAATGAGTGTTAGGCTGGAATTGGACCCGTTTCACTTCCTTATCCTGATTTAGAAAGTTAGGTGGTCGCTATCTCCCGCCACATCAAAAGCATGTTTCTGCAATGGTGCGAAAACGCAAAAAGTGGCTGTTTCTGGCACACAGCTATTAGAAGGATTACGTTGCCCTTGGCATAAATGTTAATGACAGATATTAACACCTTTTTTCTGAGAACAGATGACAAACTGCTGCTTTTAGGGTCTCATTTCAACCCTCTGTGCTGCGGACGGTATTACCAGTACCACTACATCACTTATTTCAAAAAAGACTGCCAATAAAATGCTGGTGTCAGAACCCAGAAGACAGGTTAAAATTTGTCTTCAGTAAAAAAGTGCTAAAGATTCCTGAGAAGCCTTTGCTCTCTTACGCTCCTCGGCCACTGCAATTCAGGAAGGCAGAAGTTGGCCCCGTGAAGCACCACTGCAGCAGCCTCCAGGACTTCCCTGGAGGCATTAGGAGGTTCCAGACAGAAGGAAGGATGCGTCAGGAATTGCCACCAGCAGTTCCTGTGAGACGTTCAAGACCACGTGTGCACATAGCCCTGGCAGCCACGAGGTGGGCAGTCTTTAGCCCACGCCACATATTACTTTATCTCAGCACAATTTCAGAAGGAAGGAAGGAAGATGGCTAGGCACTGAGAGATTAAAGAATCTGGAAAAATCCCATGTTTCTGCCCAGAACAGTAACACAACATATCCATCTGCAACCACCTTTCTCCTGCACTGTAGGCACTAACACCTGGCAGAGAGGGCAGGAGGTTCAAGTCCAATCCTCCTTGGAATCAGCACAGCCTTTAAACCACAGTTGGTTTTGTGGAAACAGAAAAGCAAAGCAGAATGTGTTTAATCTCAACCTTCTGGAAGAAACAAGCTAAGTTGAAACACTTATAACAAGGAGTTATAAGCTGTTTTCTTCCCCTCCGTGTGCTTATAAAGTATTTGCCAATTTCTAGTTATTTTTATCTCTCCCAGCAGAAATAAAAGTAGTAAAAATAGTGTTATTTCTATAACAGATAAAATGAAAACGATGGTGCACAACTGTTCCCCCGAGAGAAAGCACTGCAGTGTTTTTATTTCAGGAGAAAATTAACATGTGAAAAAAAACCTTAGAGCTCTTTGATTAACCTGCTCAATCAGCCTCCAGAGAGCACCTCAGACCTGCAGGACCTGCTCCCCCCATGCAGATGCCTCCCATCCAGCACCCCAAAGGACACGAGTGGTCTCCCCTCCAGCAGCACTTTGCAGATGCCGCCCCGCGTTGCCTCCCAGCAGGGAAGGACAGACAGCCTGACATCAGGTCTTTGGCTACTGAGTCTCTCCTACACCCTGGGGTGCTTCCCTGGCCTCAGGGACACGGTGTCGGGGGGCAGGCGGGGCCCTGCTGCCAGGCCTGCCTGCTGCAGCACTGGCAGCCCCAGTGCATCCTGGACAACGATGCCAAACCTCTGTCACGAGACCCACAGATAGCAATCCAAGTGATTCTTCTGGCTAGAGACACA